CAGAGGCAGTGTGTGAGGATTGCTTGGCAAACACTAGGAGCTTAATAAATGCCCATTTCCTCCAAGGAAGGGAGCCAGAAGCGCAGGAAGAACAAGGAGAGGGCGTAGGAAGGGGCTGGGAGAGAAGAGAGTGCCAGGAGAGCCAAGGGGGCGTTTCAGGTACACGGAGCAGGTGGGGACCCAGAAGGGAGGCCAGAACAGGGTGGGGGGGGCGCGTCTGAGGGTGGAGGCCCCTCCCCTCAGGGCCCAGCCCACCCCCCAGCTGCCCTGACTGGAACCAGGACAAGGGCACACTGTCCCGGGCCTGGCACAGCCTGGTGGGAGGAAGGGGGGCTGCCTGGCCCTTGTCTGCCGTGTCGGGGGCCGGGGTTGGGGGGAGCCGGGGGGTCTGGGCCCACCCACTCTCTGTCTCCGTCTCTCCCGCTGAGTTTACATCCCCCATCTCACTCGCTGCGTCTCTGCGTCTCTTGTCCTGCCGTCCTACTGTCTGTGGACCTTCTCGGTCTATGCCTCTGAGTCTCTGGGTCTCTCCCCCATCTCTTTGTCGGTCTCTCGGCCTGTTTCTTGCTGTCTCTGGGAGGGAGGACCATCCCCACCCCAACTCCAGCCCCTGCCTGGTTCCCATCCCCCATCCCCCACACCTGATCAGGGTGGGGACACTGAGCTCAGAGGCAGAGGAGTGAGGGAAGTGAGGACAGAAACAGCTTTATTCAGCAGAAACCGCAGTGGAGGATGGGGCGAGGCCTCCATGTGAGAGCTGGAGAGAGAGGTGGGGTTGGGAGAGAGGCAGAGACGAGAGAGCGACAGAGACAGAGACAGAGATGGAGAGAGAGACAGAGACAGAGACAGAGACAGAGATGGAGAGAGAGCCAAAAGGAGAGAGACAGAGACAGAGAGACAGAGAGAGATAGAAAGACAGACAGGCAGACAGAGAGAGACAGAGACAGAGACAGAGATGGAGAGAGAGACGGACAGAGAGACAGAGATGGAGAGACAGAGACGGAGAGAGAGACAAAGAGAGAGAGATAGAGACAGAGAGAAAGACAGGCAGGCAGACAGAGAGAGACAGATGGAGAGAGACAGAGGCAGAGAGATAGAGACAGAGAGAGACAGAGACAGAGAGAGAGACAGAGAGATGGAGAGAGAGGTGGGGTCGGGAGAGAGGCAGAGACGGAGAGACAGAGATGGAGAGAGAGACAGAGACAGAGAGACAGAGACGGACAGAGACAGGGAGAGACTGAGAGACCAAAGGAGAAGTGGGCGGAGAGACACACGGACGGGAGAAGGGGGAGAGGCGGGCGGGACAAAGAGTCGGTGATGCAGACAGAGAGTCAGGGAGGAAAGAAATGGAAAGGCAGGGAGAGAGCCACAGAGAAGACGAAGGCAGATGAGAGAGGTAGAGAGACCGAGGTCAGAGAGATGATGGGGGACGAGAAAGACGGATTTAGAAATGGGAGGGGTGAGAAAGGGAGAGCAGGGGGGACAGAGACGGAAAGAGACAGAGAGAGAAGATGGGGAGATGAGGGAGAGCCCTGGGGAGACGGAGACAGAGCGGAGACAGCTGGGCCTCCGCGGGAGACGCGGGGCGGCCGAGGAAGGACGGGCCCTCTCACCTGGCATCGGCGTCGGCGAGCCCCTCGGCCCGGCCCGGTGATTTAAGGGGCGCCCCGGGGGGCGGGACTGCTCCCCCCAGCCCTTATCAGGCCAACCCCTGGCTCCCGAGAGCTAAATCGGGCCTCAGCTGTCAGCACCCTGGGGCACGGGACAGCTGTCACTCCCCCTGCACCTGCCGAAAGACCACGGCCCCCTTCCCCTCCCCCCTTGCGGCCAGAGCAGGGCAGTGAAGACTGTGGGCCTGCGCGGGGCACCCCCACTGGGCAGAACCCCCGGAGCCCCCACCGCCCAGGCTCTGGGACCAGCCTGGCTGAGCACCCTGGGGCGAGAGACAGCTGGAGTGCGGCCCCTGCCCTGGCAGGTGGTGCCCGGTCACCAGGGGGGGCAAGCAGGGAGCACCCAGTGGGTGTGCAGGCCCCCCCTCCCGCCCTGGGGGTAGTGCGAGGGGCTGGGACCCGCCGGGCCCACTCCCCCTCCCCCCACCTCCTCACTCGGACCATATTAGGCCACAGCTGTGGAGGCACCTGGGGAGGTCACTCAGGCCCCAGAATAGAAACACTTAGGAGCCCGCCAGGCTGTCTGGGACAAGGTGGGACCGGCGACAGGGACATCGGGAGGAGGGGGCCTCAGGGGGCCCAGGGAGAGACGCAGAGAGGCAGAAACATCCAGAGAGGGAGACACAATAGGGAGACAGGGGGGCGTCACAGTCCCAGCCGGGGCGGAGCCAGCTGGACAGTCAGAGGGAGGAGGGCACTGGGAGGCAGCCCGGGTCCTGCAGGGGGGCTGTGGGGACCACTCCCGCAGTGGGGTGTCCAGAGACCCCAGACGATTGGTTTCCCCTCATGTGCTGTTTGACTTTTCACCTTACAAGTTGCCCTTTGACCTCCAGAAGCCTTGGGGACCGGAGCCTGCTGAGCCCAGGTCCCCACATGACCCGGCTTTCACGAGCGCGTCCGCCAGCGTCTGCTCCCCGCCTTCTTTGGGGCGTCAGAGTTTAGTGCGTGTTGTCCTTGGATGAATTTTGTGTTCAGGTGAAGCCCGGCCTGGGGCTGAGTGGGTGAGACACGCCCCAGGCTGCTGCCTCTCCCGCCTGTGGCCTCCCTGTGCCTCTAGTCCCCCCATTTCTGCCTGCCACCTAGTAGGGGACCCCACTTCTGCCCAGTTCCCCCTACCTGCTTTCCTCCCTGGGCTCACACACACTCCAGCCACCTAGGATGGGCCTGTGACCCCTGAAGCCATCTCCCTAGTGCCTGACCTGGGTCCTCCTCCCGTCACCCAGCCTGTCACGCCCCTTACACCCCAGTGAGTGCGTGTCCCCCGAACCCACCCCTCTACCTCCCCCCGAGCCCGCCAGGCCCACTCCTTTGCTGTCGCTTCTTCTCTGTCCCCAGGGTCCTGGCTCAGGCCCCGCCCTCTCCCATCTGGACCCCCAGCCTCCTCCCGGGCCTCGGGGTCTCCAGTCTGCGCCACACAGCCCCCAAGGGGTCTTCCGCACCGCGGAATGAGCTGCTCACCCCCCCCACACCGCATTGCCCACCCCTCAGTGGGTTGGGGCCTGGCTCATCACCTCAGGTGACTGCAGGCCTAATGGCGCCCCTCGCATTCCAGGTGTCATCTGGAGTTGCTCTGTTCTGGAGAGACCCCCCTCCCTGTACCTCCTCTCCTCCCACTGGCCCCCTGGAGAGCCCCCTTCAGCCTTCTGGAGCCAGTCCCCCCAGGTTCCCTCACCTTCCTGTGGGACCCCCGCCTCCCCGGGAACTGTTAAAGTCCCCCAGGGGGTCTTCCTGTTTTCTTGTTTTCCTCCCCACCTGAGAGCTGGGGTGCGGGGGGTGGAGATCGGGGCCACACAGGCCAGACCCAGAGCTGGGGCTCAGGAGGCCGGCGAAAGGCTGACAGAACAGGAAGGGCCAGCGGGCCCTGAGGAGAAGGACAGACACTGGATGGGGGCCTGTCTGATCCCACCGGCCGCCCTTGGCCCTTGGTCACCTCTTCACCTTCCCCTCCTGCCTGGGCTCCCTCCCCTCGGGGCCCACGCCAGCCCCAGGGCCTTTGCTGGGCTGCTCTGCCTGGCCGGCTTTTCCTGTAGACCCGCTCCTGGCCCCCTCCCTCCAAGAGGTGAGGCCGCTGCCCTAAATGCAGCCTAATGACCGGCTGCTCTAGCGACGTCCATGGCTTATAAAACACACACTGATTGTCTCAACACCTGCAGTGCCCAAAAGTCCAGAATGAGTCTCACTGGGCGAGAGTCCAGGTGCGGGCAGGGCCCTGGGGACAGTCTGCTCCTAGAGGCGCTCTCCCTGCCTGGGTCAGGGGCCGTTCTGTCTTCAGGCCACCCTGCTGCGGCTCAGCCTGTCCCTTAGCTCCTCTCCCTATCTCAAGGTCAGCTGCCCAGCGGCCCTGATTCCCTCCGCCGCCTTCATTCCCCTCGGCCTGTCCTCAGATCTGGGGACTAGGACAGGGACATCTTTGGGGGCCATCACTGCAATCGATGGACGAGAACTGACCGTCAGGAGATAAAGCTTTGCTTTCTCCATGGCACTCATCCCACCGGACACTCTCGGTGGCACCTATTGGTCCCCTGCTGGCCTCTCCCGGTCACCGGGATGCGGGCTTCACGAGGGCAGGAAGGAGGCTGAGGCTGAGGGGCTGTGGCTCGCAGGCGGTCACAAGGGCAGCGGGGAGCCAGCGTCTGGGCTGCCAGCAGGGCCTGCCCGGTGCCCTCGGACCCAGCAGCGACTGTTGGACGGGCCTAGTCAGACTCAGGGCCAGGCCGGGAGCAAATCTGCGTGTTTATTGAGGCAGCAGCGGTACTGGGGAGTAGGGGGTGCGGGTGCGGGGCTGGGGCCTCGGCAGGCGCCATGGGGTGCAGGCCTGGTCCTTCCCGCTGCAGGAGGCAGACAGGGACGCGTAGGGCCACGCGGGTGGGCAGGGGGCGCTCCCGCGTCCACGGGTCAGTCCGTCCGAAGCCAGCAGCCCTTCTCCTCCACCTCCTTGGTCACCACGAGCAGCACCTCGCACAGTCCCTGAGCCAGCGCGGCCGCCAGGAAGGCCCTAGGCGGGGGAACAGGGACGCTGAGGCCCAGGGCCCTGCCGCTCGCGGCGAGGGGCCCGGTCGCCTGCCCTCACCTGACGCCGTCCTCGTCCCCCAGGACCTCGGGCGCCCGCAGCTTGGAGTCCAGGTTGTAGTAGATGCCATTCACCTGGCGCAGGGCCACCCAGTGCCGCCGGCGCAGCGGCAGCGACAGCAGCCCCAGCGACACGGGCGAGGGCAGGTTCAGGATCAGCCCCAGCACCTGCGGCAGGGCCAGCTGAGACAGGGGCCTGTGGGGGCGGGGCGGGGACCCCGTGGTCAGCCCCCGACGTGCCGAACGCGTGTGGCCCGGCCGGCCTGCCAGCCAGCCCGCCCCGCCTCCTTCAGCTCGCCCGTCCGCCCTCCCGCCCAGCGCGGACTCACTCTCCACCCGCCCGTCACCCACCCGTCACCCACCCACTCAGCCATCAGAAGCCCTCAGTCAACCACGAGCAACTGCCATCCGCCCACCCAAGCCTCCCACCACCGCCTCCCCAGCTCCCACCCACGCGTCACGTGTCCGCCACTGATCTGCGCATCATCCGCCACACGCTCCCCCCACCAACCGCCGACTACCGTCCACCCCGAACATCATCCGCCCTTCACTCAGCCTCATCACCCGGTCACCGCCTTCTCAGCACCTCCAGCCACCCATTCAGCATCTAGTCGGTCACCTAGTTATCAGCAATTTACCCATCATCCACCTGTCGGCTCCTCCACTGATCGTCTGGGCCTCTCCTCCCACCTCCCAGCCCCCACCCACCGGCCGCCCATCTCCCTCTTCCTCTGTCCTTCCGATCCGCCCGTTCCCCTCCTCCTGCTTCGTCCGGCGCTGACGGCCATCACACGCGGTGCCCAGCCCCACGCACGTGACACAGTGCCCTGGGTCGCACCTCCTCCTGTCCCACCACACGGCGGCCAGGCCCAGCCCCTGCAGGGCAGCCATAATCACGTTGACGTCATAGTTGCCGGTGCCCAGGAGGCTGCGATGAGGGTTCAGTCGGGAGTCTGGGGCCAGCCTGGTTGCGGGGAGAGGGGGCAGAGCTTGAGTTAGATCCCCTGGGAGGGCCTCAGCCTCCCCACAAAGCAGGAGAGTCCTAGGGTGTCACCCACCCTTTGAACCCTTCCTTCTCTTCAACCCCTGCGACTCAGCAGCCCCCGGCCCCACTCCTCCTGCCCGACTCTCTCTGCTCTGTCCCCACTTCCAGTCCCTCTCCCACAGGGCCCAGGGGGCCCTTTCTGCACTCAGTGCTGACCCTGTCCCTCCCCTGCTCCCAGTCCTCCCTGGTGCCCTGTCACCCCAAGACAGAGTCCCAGCCCCTCAGCCCGGCCTTCCAGGCCCCGCATGGCCAGGTCCCAGCTGGCCTCCTAGCCTCAGCCCCCACTTCTTCCCAGCCACCTGTCCCCAGCCACCTCTCTCGTGCTCCTGCCCCCAGCCTTTCCTCTGGCTGTCCCCCAGCCCGGGAGGGCCACTGGCCACCACTTGTCTCTCTGGCCCTGCCTCTCAGAACACCCGCACGTTTGTTCTCTATCTGGGCCCTTGGTGGGCAGGGCGGCGGGAGAGGCTGGAGCCAGGGAGGTTTGTATTTTTTCCTGTGCACGTTTCCCTGGCCTCCTCAGGACAGGGCTCATATTGGACACGTCTCTGGGTCTCCAGCGTGGCCCTGGCATGAGTCGACTGTTCCCTCTGTTGAATGACAGAGACGAGTCAATTCGCTAATAATCAGTCTGAGGGGCTGGGACTCAGCCTGAGGATGCTGGGGAGCCACGGGAGGGCTTTGGCCAAGAGAGGGGGACACAAGGTCATGGGTGTAGGAACACGTGAGGCCCGAGTGGACTGGAGCCTGGAGGCTGGAGGTCCAGAGGATGATGGGGCCCGAGCTGGGGCCCAGGCTGCAGGGAGGGTGGGGAATATGGCAGAGAGATAATAAAGAAGCGATGTTTGAAACCTTGACCAGTGAAGAGGAACATTCCAGGCTTCCAAGAGGAGAAGCCATGCCCGACAGAGGATGGTCTGCCCAGGGCCACCTCAGCGGGGCTCCTTTAGGGACTGGAGGGCAATGTGGTTCTCGGGGAGCGGTGAGATGCGAAGCTGCAGAAGTCGGCGGGGAGCAGAGCACACAGAGCCTTGGATATCGGGCTGTGAGCCTTGGGACTTCTCCCAGGGGTGCTGGGGAGCTGCAGCGGTAGCCCTGGGGTGTGTGCAGGGTGGACTGGAGGGGGAAAAACCAGGAGCTGGGAGGTCAGAGGGGAAGTGGGGGCCAGGGTCTGGATAAGACGCTGAGGTTTGAGTTGGAGGCCCTGGGGATGGACAGATGTAGGAGGCAACATGTCCTTCTCTGAGACCCAGGGTGCAGCCCAGGCGTATGATGGAGTAGCAGACAGCCCCTAGGCCCCGCCCTTGCCTCTCTGCGACCCAGGTGGGTGCCCCGCCTCTTTGAGCCCTGCCTCTCCAAGGGTGCGGGTGGGTGATGGTCACCTCTTGCAGATCTCATCGGCAGCCTCTTGGCTAAAGAGCCGCTGCTGGAGGACGTTGTTGAGGGCGTGGACGGCACACAGCTCCAGGCGCTGCTGCTCGTGGTACACAGAGGGCGGACCCTGGGACATGCCGCCCTTGGCTTCTGCTTGGGAGACGACGGAGAAAGGGCTCAAGGGACCAGGATCTGGAGGTCCACCCTGTCAGCAGACTCTGGGGGCACCACCACTGGGGTGGGGGCTCGGGGCGGCCTGAAGGGGGCCCTGACCTTGCTCCGGGAGGCTCTTCTGGCAACTGGGGACCTCCATTCCCCATTCTTAAGGAAAAAGCTCCTTTTCCTGCTCACTTAGCAACAGAGGAACACCCTCACCACATCACTAAGTGAAAAGGTACTATGGTGGTCACCTAGCAACAGAAACCCCCCCCTCAGGTAACAGGATCCCTCTCTGGTTACGTAGCGACAGCGAACCCTCCACCCCACTAGGTAACAAGTCTGTCCTCCGGTTACTTAGCAACAGAGGAATCCTCCTCCCCAGTCTCTAGGCACAGGGTCTCTTCTGGTCGCCTAGCAACAGACGACTCCCTTCCCTTGTTACAAAACAGGGTTTTTTTCTTCCTGTCGCCCGGCAGCAGGGCACCCTCCCCGCACACGATGGAACAGAGCCCTTTCCCCAACCCGTACCCCAACCGCGGCGCTTGCCCGTTGCCAAGGAACGCCCCTCACCCCTCCTGCCTCTCTGCTCGCCGGAACCAGGAGCTCCCGCATCCCCTTGGGCGGCGGCTCCGGGCTCCGAGTGTGGGGCACAGCGCTGACTGGGCAGGCGGGACGGACTACAGCTCCCGGCGGCACCCGCGAGCGCTGTTGCTCCGCACAGAGCGTTTGGGCAGCGTGATCCGGAAGTCCGCTGGTGCCGTGAGAACGCGGGAAGGCAACCTCCGTCATCTCGGGTGGAGAACCCCGGAAGTATTCCTTACAGAGGCCCCGCCCTTCACGCGCCACCCCGCCCCCTGCTGCTCGGAGGATTCTGGGAAATGTGGCGGGTGCGCTCTCGCGAGAGCGTCCGGGCATTTAGCTCCTGCGGGGTGTGGCTGCCCCCCAGTATGGCGGGAAGTGTGCGTCACGCGTGAGGACGCGGTGTGACGTCATAGAAGGGTGACATGGGAGTAGCGACACCAAGCTGTGCAGAGAGAATAAGCCCCAGTCTTTACTGAGACGGGACGGAGGCCCGGGCAGCAGCAGGACGGTGGCGGTGGCGGCAGATGAGCTGAGGGTGTGCTCTAGTGAAGGGCTTCTCAGCAGAGATGGATCCCCGGCCTCGGGGGGAGCTGGCAGCAGCCTGCGGGGGCGGGGGGAGGGACACGGGGAAGGAAAGGCAGCGACAGAGAGATCAGAGACACACACCTGGAGGGAGGGACAGACCCAGGTGGGGGTTGAGGGGGACCTGGAGAGAGGGACAGCGACCCAGAGAGGGACAGAGAGAGACCTGGGGAGTGGACAGAGACAGAGAGAAAAAGATTCAAAGGCATGGCGTGGAAGATCGAGACGCAGAGATCAAACAACAGAGACAGACTCGGAACTGCAGAACCAGACTCTGAGGCCCAAGCTCTGTAGAGCACAGAGCGCATGGCTCGGAGACCGGGGCCACTAGCAATGGGGAAGGGCCTGGCCGTACCCAGGAGGCTGCGCCAGAATGCAGTGACAGTGGCCGAGCCGGTGACAGCGCCTGGCTCGGCGGGGTTCCCTCGGTGGGTGTGCACAGCGAAGCTTCGTCCTGTGGGGCCCGGCGGTCCGCTCAGTTCCACGTCCACCACGTGCATGTCCGTCCGTGAGGCTGGGGCAAAACAGAGCGGTCAGTTCGGCTGCCCTGGCCCCAGCCTCAGTCCCCACTCAGCTTAGCTCACCTGAGATCAGCCACAAGCACCCCGATCACGCGGTCAAATCCCAGACTGGGGGCAGCCAGGGCAGCGGCTGCCACGGTGTTGGAGTTGGGGGGGGCTAAGGGGCAGAACCCACGGACAGGGCCTTCATAGAGCACAGTGTGGGGCGCGCTGCCCAGCGCTGCAGCCAGGGGTCCCTCGAGCCGGAAGCCATTGAGAGGTGTGGCCATAGTGATACCGATGCTCTGGAAGTGGGAGCCAGGGTTAGGGACCCCAGGGGTCTCTGCAGGCCTTCTCTGGTTCCTGGGGAGCCCAACAGACCCTCACCTGGAGGCCCCCGGCTGCATCCAATCTGGCGATGTCCTCACTGCCCCAGAGGGCCCCCCGCCCCAGGCCACGAACACGGCATGGTCCCAGCGGTGCGAGGCCTCCAGGAGCTGCTGCTCTGTGGCCTGGTCAGCCAGGGCTGAGGGGGACCCCACCTGCGGAGGGTGAAGGTGGGGATGCTGAGGTCAGGGGATGGGTGGATCCTACTTAGGGGCGGGTGGAGCTGAGGCGGAAGGGGCAGGGCTCACCAGGAGATTGGCATGGTGCAAGATCTGCCCCAGTTTCGCAGATTATTTTGGGATGGGCCACTTCCACCACAAGGTCAGGGTGCCTGGGAAAGGGGAGAAGTGGGGGAGGGCCTTGGAGATATATTAGGCTTCCCCTCCCCAGATTCTCTCGGTCTGTAGAGGCCTGTCATTCTTTACCCTGGCCTGGGAGGGGAAACTAGGTGTATGGGCTTGTCCCATTTTGCATTTGGCTGAACTAAGGCTCAGAGAGGGTAACAAACTCCTCTGAGATCACACAGCAGCTCAGGGAGGCCATGGCGGGAGCTTCAGGGAGCCCCAGTCTCTCACGGAGAGGTCACTGACCTCTCCCCAAGGTCAGCGAGGTTCTGGAGCTGCAGGGAGGGGGGCACACTCCCCGCCATTCATCCTGGGTCACGATTCCAGACGAAAACAAGTTCTAGGCCAAGTTTCGGTCCCTGAGTCAGCAGATGGGTGATCAGGGACTGTCCTGGGGATAGGGAAAGTCTCAGAAGGAAGAGAATGGGTACACAGAGCGGGGTGGGGCCCCGTAGTCAGGAATGGAAGAAAGATTCTCAGGTAGACATGCAGACGGCCAGGATGTAGGTAAAGACATCCACGAAAGGTGTGTTTGTGGAGGACACAGGGGCTTTGGGGGCTTCAAGAACGGGCCTGGGTTAGAGACCCCAGACGTTCTGGGACTCACCGAGACAGCAGTAGCCCACCACCCCAACCCTCCATGGGGCCCTTGAATCTGGTGGCCTGTGGTCCAAGCTCCGTTGGCGGCTGGCTGGTCCCCTCCACCGGAGGCCTGGGCAGCTGCTGCTCTTTGGACATTTGACCCTTGAGCTTCTCCTAACCTTCCCCACAGTGGCCCAGAGAGGAGGGTGAAGGTTTGCTGAGTGGGGGTGGGCTGAGAATCCCGGAGGCAGAGGGCACTATGACCTGGGGTGCCAGGGGCCCTAGTGGCCCCCACTGTATGGGCCAGTTCTTTCTCTGAATCATATCCTCCTCCCTTGCTGCTGATGTGGAAAATTTCCTCTGCAGTCCCCAGCCCCCCCCCTTTTTGGCTGGCCAGGTTGTCATGGAAACTGCATCCTGCTTGGGGTGGGGGTTGAGAGGGTTGGGAGCAGGGCGAGATGGTAATGGGGACTTTGGGCTCTCCGTCCCCTTGCTCCCACGGTCTGAATCCCCACCCTCACGGCCACTCCCTCGCGCCTTGGCACCGCGTCAATTCTTGTCAACGTCCCACAGTGTTTTCCTCCGTCTGGGTCTCTTTCTGTCTCTCATCTCTCTTCCTCTCCATCTCCGTATCTGCCTCCCTGGATCTCGATCCTCCCAGCCCCCGCCTCCACCTCCTCTGGGCTGGCTGCCATTCTGTCCCCGGCCAGGCCAGGCCCTCATGTCCTCCCCACCGAAAGGGCCAAAGAATGCCTGGCCTGGCCATACTCCGTGTCCCCACGAGGCAGTGGGAGCCGGAGTGTGGCTCAGCCCAGCCCCGTCTCCAGAACATCTGCAGTTCACCTTGAGTTCTCACCTTTCATCCTCCCCTTCCCTAGCCGTGATGCCGCCAGTCCCCCTCCCCCATGCTGTATTCTCACTCCCACGCCCTCCCCTCCCCTGTCCCCCCTCCCATCAGTCAAGGAGAAGCCTGCAGGGGGCCTGGAAAGCCCCGAGCGCCCCCCAAAATGAGCCCCAGCCAGTGCCTGGCATTGGAAATGGTGGAGGCTGCGGCAGTGCCGCTCCCTGCCCCCAACCGCCACCTGGTACCCGCTGCAGTGTCTCCATGGCAACCAGGATCAGCTCTGAAAGAGGACCAGGGAGAAAGGGAGCATGAAAGAGGGAGCGAGGGGGAGGGTCCCGAGTTGACAGGCGGCAGAGCAGATGCGCAGACAGATAGGGCCCAGGACGCCAGCCACGTCGAGAGAGGGTGGCAGAGGACGTACAGGGCTGCGGCTGCCACGGCCCATGAGGGATTTTGCTTTGAGGGCACCCAGGTCGGGGAGGGGGGGATGCCGTGGGGCGGAAATGGCCATGGAAGAGGGGCAGGGCCTCGCAGAGCTCACAGGGCCTGGCCAGGGACATGGGGCCTTCCTGCCTGTCCCACGTCTGTCTTCAACTCCATGGGACACCAGGTCCCATGTAGCAAGCAGGCCTGCTGTATGTGGGGCCAGGCTAGGCTGAGGTGAGAGAAGAAAGGGGGCGGAGACCCGCCCTGACCCCCGGCCCAGCCCTGCGTGTCCGCGGCCATGTCTGCCCAGAGCAGCTCCCTGTCCAGACAGCTGCCTCGGCCGGTCCAGACAGCCCTGGGTGGCAGTCCTGGTGGGCCTGGCCCTCTAGAGGCTGAAATGCCAGCATCTTGGCCTCCCCCAGCCCCACCAGCAGCTGCCCACTGCCCCGGCCGGCCCCTGGGTTTGCTCCCACTCGCTGGCTGCTGTCCCCCTAGGGACTCCGTGACGTCCCTGCCCTCCTTGGTGACAGCAATGCTCCCTGTCAGTCCCCAGGCCTGGATCCCGTCCCTCCCACCTCTGCTTTAAGGCGGCAGCACAGCCCTCCCGCAGCTGAAGCGCCCCTGCACCCCCAGCTCCCCCTTCCCGCCCCTGCGCGGGGACCCGCGTGGCCCGCTTCCTCTGCGTCGGCGTCTGGAGTGGGTCTGCAGCAGAGGCAGACACTGGTTTGGCTCTGTCACAGGTTGACTTGTGTCCCCTGATAAGACATACTGGGAATCCTGACCTCCAGGGCCCGAGTGACCTAATTTGGAAACAGTCTTTGCAGAAGGTCCAGTTAAGATGAGGTGAAGGGCCCTCGTCCCATTCGACCCGGGCTGGGACAGGGACGGACACGCTCAGACGACGTGGGAGGCGGGCAGAACGCCACGTGGTGAGCGCAGCGCTGACCAGAAGCTGGAGGCGGCGGGGAAGGATCCTGCCCCGCGGGGTCCACGCCTGACCTCGGACCCCTGGAGCCTCCCCTGTGACACGCGTTCCCGCCGTCCTGGCCCACCCGGGTTTTACTCCTTCGCAGCGGCAGCCCTGGGAAACTAATATGGGCCCCTTGATTTCTGCTGAGAAATCAGGGCAGGGGAGAGGACCCCAGTCCCTGCCTCAAAGAGCTGCGGGGAGACTAAATCCTGGTGCTGGGCAACCCGGCCCCTCCTGGGACTTCCAAGGTCAAGGGGAGGGGCCTCAACACCTGGGGGGGGCTCAACATCCTCTCATTCTGCTACCCACCCACATTCACTTCGTTTTTTCTCTCCTCCATGCTGTCATGACCAAAAAAAATATTTTTTTACTTTTTCCGTGTTTTTTTTTAAAGTAATTACAGAGCAGGTAGTCGTTGACGCAAACCTCCCTTCGGTATCAAAAGAGTCTGTGGGGCGGGTGGGGGCTGGGGTGGCGGTGGGGGGTGGGCTGAGGCTGCCCCACCCGCAGCTAAGGGGCCCAGGGACAGGAGTGGGCTCGGTGGTGGGGGGCAGGGCCGGGGAGTCCAGAGGTGCTGACGACCGCGCGTCTGTCTTCCGTTTCGGGGTGGAGGGGGCTGGTAGGAGAAGGGGACAGGCGTCAAACTGCAAAAAAATGAACCATAAAAGGAGGACTGTTGGGGGGCGAGGGGAAAGGACACCCTTCAAAAAAACTCCTTTCTCCCCTGGAAGGTGGAGGGCTGGACGGTTGGTCAGGAGAGCAAGGAGGAAAAGCAGAGGGTTCCGGCCACTTCTCCTGAATCCGGCATCCCCTGCGGTCACCCTGGAGGGATGGGGCAGGGGAGCCAGGAGACTCGGTGCCTGGGGCCCCACCCTGTCCTCGCTGGGCCAGCCGCCCCGGGGTCCAGCTGAGCTCCGAGCCCGCCTTCTCCGCGGTCTGAGGGGCTGGGGCTGTGGGGGCCCCTCCCCCCGTGTGTCCTGAGCCCGGGGCCCCGCCCGGCGGCGACAGCGGCGGCAGCGACAGTGTCAGATCTGCGTTTCTTGCACGTTCTCCTTGGAGCCGCTCTTGAAGAGCAGAGGTTCGTGGATGGAGTTGAGGCCGGGCGGGCCCTTCCCCCCACAGCCCCCGCCGCTCGGGGCGCTGCTGTAGTGCGCCTTGAAAGCGGCCGCCACGTAGTGGTGGTGGTTGAGGTGGTCGCGCTCCAGAGCGGGCAGGGCCAGGTGGCTGTCCCCGCCCACGCCGCCCCCGCTGGCCACGGCGGCGGCGGCGGCCACGGACACGGCGGAGGCGGCGGGCAGCTCGTCTTCCACGTTGATGATCTCCACGGTGCGCGTGGGCCCGTGGTGCTTGTGGAGCTGGTGCTGCTTGCGCAGCTTGTAGAAGGCCACGAGCATCACGGCGGCCATGAACGTGATGGCCACGAAGCAGCCGATGATGATCTTGGTGGTCTTCATGACGTCGTCCAGGTCCTTGAGGGCGTTCTCCGTCACGTCCGTGATGGGCACCGTGAACGCCTTCTCCGT